GAATGTAGTTGAATTTTGGGGGCCCTRTCCTAATTAGCCATCACGCTGTTGACGTGTCTGGCTCTAAATTTCACATAAATTTCAGCCAATCTGCACATAGTTCGCTATCGTCAATCCTAATCCACCCCACAACAAGAATGTAATAAATGTTGTGGGGCGAGGCCTAATTACTCCACAGTACCCCACCTCAATTATGTAAAAAAATTAGCCTCAAGCCATGCTTGGTCCTGGAATCATGAAATTTGGTACACATGTGTAATGTCTCAGGATCTGAAAAATAGTCTCTTGGAATCACGATCCAAACCCCACTGGAAGTCGGCCATTTTGGATCAAAGCTGCCAATTTGTCTCTTTTCTTGCCCATGTATCTGAGCTAACTACCCCTATAGCTTTGAACATATACTGTAGACTTCACATGCTATATGCTTCTCTCACTGATTGGTGGCAGGATGATGTGGTGAGTGGCGAACGAAGCTGATGTCTCACCGTTTGCATACGATTGGCTCTAAATCTCACATTCATGACCCGAACTGCACCAAATTTTGTGTGCACCATCAGGGACACCTGCTCAACATGTTGGTATGGTAGTTTGACAAGATCACTTCAGCCCCGCCCACTTTTCATTCTATTAGCTCTAAATCACACATGCATGATCAGATCTGCACCATATTTTGTGTGCATCATCAAGGACACCTTCTCAGCATGTGTGGTAGTTTGACAAGAACAATGTAGCCATGCCCATTTTGCACATAGTTGGCTCTAAATGATGACCCAATCTGCACACAATTTTGTGTGCATCATTACGAAAACCAGCTAAACACATTAGTATGTTAGTTTGACAAGATCACTTTAGCCCTGCCCACTCAGCACACGGTTGGTTCTAAGTCACACTTACTTGATCCAATCTGCTCCAAATTTTGTGGGCATCATCAAGGAAGGCCTGCTCAACAAGTTGGTGTTGTAGTTTGACAACATTTTATCCACATGTCCGTCCCTCCATCCATCCTTTCATCCGTCTCCGTCTGTCTATTCCCCTTATGAGATTATCTAWATGATGAAGGCCTGTGATGATTCCAACAAAACTGCTAACAGTTGGTCACTACTGAATGGCAATGGGGGATATTAGCGAAGGTTGGTGTCTAGTTCGAATAAATAATTAAGATAAGAAAATCTTTATTGTCATATCATTAGAGTTCTAATCAACAATAATGATGATTATGATGATGACAATAATAATAATAATCCATTTTCCATTTTCTTCCGCCTATCCGAAGTCGGGTCGCAGGGGCAGTAGCTTCAGAAGGGAGGCGCGGACTTCCCTCTCCCCATCCACTTCTTCCAACTCCTCCGGGGGAACTCCAAGGCGTTCCCAGGCCAGCCGAGAGACATAGTCCCTCCAGCGTGTCCTGGGTCTTCCTCGGGGCCTCCTCCTGGTGGGACGTGCCTTGGTGGAGTCCAACTCTCACCGGAAAAGAGCCCGACTTACTGCCGGAAATGCGGACCAGACTCTGACACCGGTCGTACAAGGACCTGACAGCCCTTATCAAAGGGCCCGGTACCCCATACTCCCGGAGAACCCCCCACAAGGCCCCCCTTGGGACATGTTCGAATGCCTTCTCCATGTCCACAAAACACATGTAGACCGGTTGGGCGAACTCCCATGCACCCTCCAGGACCCTGCTGAGGGTGTAGAGCTGAGGTTTAGCCCAAGCTAAATGTTAGCATGTAGATTCTGAAGTAGTTGTACAGTCATAGCTGGTTAAATATCTGGTCTGCTGTTTAGTTCAGTGTTTATATCTGAACCTGCCTCTGGTCGCTGCTCTGGTACAGTGTGAATATATGGAACAAAGTGACGTGCTGGAAGTATTGGTCCAGTGTTCCACGCCCAGGACAAAAACCGCACTGCTCCTCCTGAATCCGAGGTTCGAATATCCGATGGACCCTCCTCTCCAGGACCCCTGAATAGACCTTACCAGGGAGGCTTAAGAGTGTGACCCCCCTGTAATTGGAGCACACCCTCCGGTCCCCCTTTTTAAACAGGGGGACCACCACCCCAGTCTGCCAATCCAGGGGKACTGCCCCCGATGTCCATGCRATATTGCAGAGTCGCGTAAGCCAACACAACCGTACAACATCCAGAGCCTTAAGGAACTCYGGGCGGATCTCATCCACCCCCGGGGCCCTGCCACCAAGGAGCTTTTTAACCACCACGGTGACCTCGTCCCCAGAGATCGGAGAGCCCAACCCAAAGTCCCCAGGCTCAGCTTCCTCAACAGGAGGCATGTTGGTGGGATTGAGGAGGTCTTCGAAGTATTCCCCCCACCGGTCCACAACGTCCCGAGTTGAGGTCAGCAGCACACCATCCCCACTATAAACAGTGTTGGTGCTGCACTGCTTCCCCCTCCTGAGACGCCGGATGGTGGACCAGAATCGCCTCGAAGCCGTGCGGAAGTCTTTCTCCATGGCCTCTCCAAACTCCTCCCACACCTGGGTTTTTGCCTCAGCGACCACCCGAGCCGCATGCCGCTTCGCCCGCCGGAACCCATCAGCTGCTTCTGGAGTTCCACAGGCCAAAAAGGCCCGATAGGACTCCTTCTTCAGCTTGACAGCATCCCTCATTGAAGGTGTCCACCAACGGGTTCGAGGGTTGCCGCTGCGACAGGCACCAGCAACCTTGCGGCCGCAGCTCCGATAAGCCGCCTCGGCAATGGAGGTACGGAACATGGTCCATTCAGACTCAATGTCCCCCACCTCCCCAGAGCATGTTTGAAGTTCTGCCGGAGATGGGAGTTGAAGCTCCGTCTCACAGGGGACTCCGCCAGACGTTCCCAGCAGACCCTCACTACACGTTTGGGCCTGCCAGGTCTGACCGGCTTCCCCCACCACCACCGGAGCCAACTCACCACCAGGTAGTGGTCAGTTGACAGCTCCGCCCCTCTCTTCACCCGGGTGTCCAAAACATACGGCCGCAGATCCGATGAAACGATGACAAAATCGATCATCGAACTGCGGCCTAGGGTGTCCTGGTGCCAAGTGCACATATGGACACCCTTATGCCTGARCATGGTGTTCGTGATGGACAATCTGTGACGAGCACAGAAGTCCAACAGCAGAACACCACTCGAGTTCAAATCGGGGGGGGTTCCTCCCAAACACGCCCCTCCAGTTCTCACTGTCATTGCCCACGTGAGCGTTGAAGTCYCCCAGCAGAACAAGGGAGTCCCCAGGAGAGACACCCTCCAGTACACCCTCTAAAAACTCCAGAAAGGGTGGGTAATCTGAACTGTTGTTCKGCCCGTAAGCACAGACAACAGTCAGAACCCATCCCCCCCACCCTTAGGTAGAGGGAGGCTACCCTCTCGTTCACCGGGGTAAACCCCAACGTACAGGYGCCAAGATGGGGGGCAACAAGTATGCCCACTCCTGCCCGGCGCCTCTCACCGCAGGCAACTCCAGAGTGGAAGTACGTCCAGCCCCTCTCAAGGAGACTGGTTCCAGAACCAGAGCCATGCGTYGAGGTGAGGCCGACTATTTCTAGTCGGAACCTCTCAGCCTCGCACACTAGTTCCGGTTACTTTCCCACCAGAGAGGTTACGTTCCACATCCCAAGAGCCAGCTTCTGCAGCCGAGGGTCAGACCACCCGGGTCCCCCCTTTGGCCGCCGCCCATTCCACACTGTACCTGACTCCTTTGGCCCCTCTTACAGGTGGTGAGCCCGTTGGAAGGGGAACCCACGTCTCTTCTTCAGGCTAAGCCCGGCCGGGCTCCGTGGGTGAAAGTCCGGCCACCAGGTGCTCGCCATCGTGCCCCACCTCCAGGCCTGGCTCCAGAGGGGGGCCCCGGTGACCCGCGTCTGGGCGAGGGAACGTTAGATCCAAAGTTTTCATTCATCATAAGGGGTCTTCGGGCTGCGCTTTGTCTGGTTSCTCACCTAGGACCTGTCTGCTTTGGGTGACCCTACCAGGGGCATAAAGCCCCAGACAGCATAGCTCCTAGGATCATTGGGACATTCAAACCCCTCCACCACGGCATGGTGGCAGCCCAAGGAGAGGATAATAATAATAATAATAACAATAATAATAATAATAATAATAATAATAA